GGTCCTACGACACCCGCCAAGTCGGGAGCCAATGATGTTGCATGAGATTCCAGATTAACCATGGCAGGAAGTATTGGTGGACTTTTCGGTGACAACGGGAAGGACTATTTAGTCACTGTGAACTATTACACTGACTATATTGATTTCGACCCACTCACCGCTACCACGAAAGAAGCAGTTAGCAACAAGCTTAGGTCTCAGTTGGCTAGACACGGAATACCGGAGGAACTGATCTCCGGCATTTGCCCACAAGTTACAAGTGCTGCGGTCCAGACCTTCACGAATAATTGGAAATGTTCGCACCGACATATCAGCCCATATCACAGTCAGTTTAAAGGAAAAGCAAAGGCAGCCGTCAAACAAGCGAAGAGGCTGTTGTCGAAAACCAGAGCCACTCATGAGGACCCGTATCTAATGTTGTTAGCGATTCGAAATACTCCACTGCCAAACGTTTGTCTCATTCCAGTTCAACATTTGTACGGCTGAAGACAAGAACCCTAATGCCTGCATCTGCTTAAATCTTACACTCTGCCTCGTCATCGCATGCGCAACTGCAAAAGGTCTTATGAAAACAGAAAGCAGATCAGAAACGGTATTATGATTGCACAACCCGAGCGCTACCGGAGCTATCAGTAAATGATGAAGTGTGGATTCAACCAATAGTGGGTGTCAGCGAACGATGGAAGAAAGTTGGGGTGGCCGCTAAATTTGAAGAAAGATCTTATGAAGTCAGTACCGCAGGGAAGGCAATTCGGAGTAACCGAGTGCAGCTGAGCCGACACCAGGAAAGTAACGGTGGACCTGCAGCAAAACACCTGAAGCATTATGGTGAGGTCGCAATGAGAGATGTAGCAAAGACCACGCGGAGCGGAAGAGCGTACAGAGTCTTCGGCGATACCGAAGCAGCACAACCCGAAATAAGGAAGGATGTGATAGAATTGTGTAAGCAAGAGGCAAAAATGCCGCATGAGAACAGAGCACTTGATTGGACAGCTTCATATATTCCGCCTACGTGCTGACTAGCTCGCTGGAGCGAGTTAATTTAACTACTTCAAAGAAAGGAAACTCATGCGTACAGCAGCGTCGTTAGTTAATGGAAATGACAGTTAATTATATGGAGGTTCCTACATGGTTGTCAGACTGTTAATATTGGTTAGTTCGCTACGCCGAATAAACCGTTTGTCCCTGAAAGACAGTTTTGCGACACGCTACTGTACTATTTAGATGCATCTAGGCGTACATATATGTATGGGACTTATCAGCTTTCAATTTCAGCACAATTTCGTGCCAACAACTTGCAATTCACTCCAAATAGCGAGTGGATAATGCTTCAAATTGACACGTACAAAATAACAGCGTCTTAATATGCAGCTTTTTACATGGAGGTGTATCAAGGAGGCTGACCAACCAAAACCTGCGGAAGGACATCTTAAGGTAAAAAACCAGTAAGTTACATGGATTTGAAAGCTGTATGTTGATCGCTTAAGTAAATGCTCCAAAGATGTGAGATCAATGGTGGAATGGCAGTAATATTTCAAATGTAACAACTATGAGCTTGCGCACTCTAGCATATTTACACGGTAAGGTAACTGAGAATATGCCACGTAATGTCCACTGAACATTGTATCACAACTCCTCGGTTCCATATAGCTGCTAGGTAGGCTGGCTAGATGATATGACTTCGCTTGCCGGATCCGGCCCGCGGGCCTTAGTTTGGGATCCCTGAGTTAGATCGTTCCTCCGCCAGATAAGACACAACTAAATACCGAATTGCGACTACTGTGTTGATCTATCGATTAGTTGTGAAAGAACACTGCACAATGCACAAAACACCAACGGCCTAGCAGCGAAATTTAATCTAAACATTGAAGCACACACATGGTGTATGTAGAGAGGTAGGCAAGCCGCATGCGCTCTATGGATGCCACGATGACAGGCAATTCCGGACAAGAAAGTAGCCAACCAGTTCAGTTGGAAGTACGAATAACATTAGGAAGCAAGTGGCTAGCTTCCACCGGGGAAGGAAGCAGATTTTTTGATGCCTACGCACCTTCGCCAATACGCGGATTGGTTTGTACTTGGCCGAGCTGCAGTTTGTTTGATTGATTCAAAGGAAGAATCTGGTGAAGGCAACAGCGTCGTTAGTTAGGGAACTGAGTTAGTTATTTACATCGAGACATTTACTACCTAATCGTACTGTCATTTTCGCTGAGCCTTCTTGGTCGAATAGACCGTTTGTCACTAAATGACCGAATTCTGCGACATGGTGTCAGAGAAGACCAAGGAAGGATAACCGAAAAGTATTCAGTTGCTGATTGGACCGCATCCAGCTGTATAAACGCCAGTTCCGTCGAACAGGGTAGAACACACACTGGTGAATATCACTGTGCAACAAAAATGTTTTGTTTTCTTTAACGGGATGCCAATGTCCCTACCTTTTAGAATATACCTCATGGATCGATGTTACCTAGAACGTCAGTTTACATTGCCATCAGCAAATAATTATTTCCAGTAAACTCAAGGCCACATCGTACGAATTATGTATAGAGATACTGAATCACGACACATGCAAAATGCATCTCTGGGACAAATGGGTTTAAATTCTCACTGCTACGCTCGTCCATAACTACTGACCGCAGTTTGACACTAAGAAATGGTAACTTCGCAGAGGTACAGCGCTTTTAAGCTGCATAAGCCAGCAAACGTCACCCATTTTGGAAGGCGTGTAATTGTCACGGTTGCGCTGCTCCATGAATAAAATGTCTTGGTTAACGTGCTCACCACGTTCCTCACTATTTGATTCCAATTTCGATGGGAACAAGTCAAGGTGATTATGTAAAAATAGGTTATTGTGTGGCATTTAAATACCAACAGTCTGCAATGAGTTTTTATAATTTCTTCGTAGTTCTCTGCCTTTGTTCCACCCAATAAGCTAGTCCACACTGCCTTGAATGACCTCAACACTTCTAACAAATTAAGTCAACTGGCATTCGTAAGCATTGTTTGTCATTATTCGGCAAAATCAGACCCAGTAACTAAGCTTTCTTAGAGCTTGGCACCAATGCTCTTCAGAAACATTTGTTTCAGGTATTGAGGCGTAAGACCATCTGGCTCTAAGGCCTTGATGAATATTTAATCAAAACAAGCTAAATACTCAGGGGTGGATAGTATGATCAGGCTGCACAAGATGTGTGTGCTATGCACTCATTTTCTCTGAGGCACACTTCTTCCTCTCTGGCCACTTTCCGGTTATGTAGTGCTGTTTAGTTGCTCAACTCTTCCATAAGCACAAGAAAAATCTATATTTGGTGAGGTCTCCTTGCATAACCATTCGAAGTCCAATTATTTTGAAGTAATCACAGACGATCTAAGAGGAATTATGGTAGTTCAGTGCAGCAAACATCCGTTGCATGCTTTCCTGAGTTTACTTCATATAAGTGGCATGCAACAGGCAGAGTTTGGTACACATTTCCATTGGGTAGCATTAGGGCCATATGACTACTCTTGGATGAGTCAATGAACAAACCCCATGCATCACCTCAAGCCAAGCACCTTCACCAGTCCTTCCATGCCTGAAAAGTAACAACTATTGCTCTCGTGTCATGGAAACCGTACAATTTAACACCGCTTTCTGCATACAGTAACCTTAGTGTTTGCAACAACTAAGTGCCCCTGCTGCACCCAGGTTGCCAACAAGGCCGTCTTGACTTTAGGCAAGCTCAGATCAAGTACCAAAATATTTGGCTCTGAAAGTTCAATAAAATCTGGGTTGACAACCTCAGTTTCAATGTTTTTACAAATGTCAGAATCAGGAGAAGTTGGCGAAGCGGAATCAATGCTCATCAGTGACCTCTTCACTGGAAGCAATGCCATGTGTAAAGTGTACACATGAGAAACTGGTCGAATAGCTGATGGAAGAAAGGGGTAATGGATTTCTGTCTTTGTTTCGGCTAGAGAATCCAAAGACGCTGGTTGGGCAGAAGTAGCCATCTGTCGTGTGATTCATTACACACTCCACACCATGGGGATTGTAAAGGGCATCTTGCACTTACCCTTGAGCCACTGTGTCTGATGAAGATTACACGACACACAAACAATATGCAGCGCCTACTTCTTATCCTGATCTTCCAGTTTCATCTATCAATAGGCGTGGTAGGCAGAACTCAGTAGTGAAGAAATGGGTTTACAATGCGAATTTGAAGTAAACTGTCCGCAAACGTAACAACCACGATTTCGCTTATTGACAAAGCAGCGTCTTCCATTTATGATCAAGATATTATTTAAGGAAACACAGCTTTCAATCTACTTACAGGATCAAGGAGATACCAAGAGCAAGAGGAATTCTATCCAAAGATTAAAGGGAGCCAATAGACCAATCACAGGTGATTATTCGTTGCATGGAACACACTTCTTAGATGAAATTAAAAATTGAAGTAAGACAAAACCAGAACTGACCGAATCATTTTGTTTACGTATTTGTAATCAGCTTACTAATTACTACAAAAACATACCATACCATTTCTGCTATAAATGTGACGTTGCACAGTCTAATGGGAGAACCTTGAAAACCAAGTGGATGGATTGCTGTGTATTGGTGCATCTGAATGAACAACCCATGGCCTATCTCCTGGCGATGTTTCTACCTACCACCGGATACGAATCACTCCGCTTGCTGGAAACGATGCAGTACAAAAATGGACGAACAGCAGCTGAACTGAAAACAGTCATCCGAAAATTACGAGCTTTCTGTGTAAACCAGACTAATTAGACCTATTTGTCGTATCTCCTTCTAACTCCAAGGAGCCGACCAAATAAAACTATCGGGAAATGTAATGAAGCAGAAGAGCGTGGCTCATTACTGTAATTTTTGCAATAGTATGGCTGACAGTCATCCGAGAAAGAATCGTGGTGGCGATCAATGATGGAAATATCACCTAGCGGCTTTTGCGGCAACGACTCAGGCAGTCCCTTGACATATGGCTCAGTGAACCGGCAAGTACAAACCTCATTCAGCAATTGTGGTTGCTGTCTGATGCACAGCTATGTGCCGTAGCCAGCCTGTTTGACAAAACTTTGGAGACTGTTATCAAGACACAACTAACATGCAACTTCTACGCGGCCCTGCACCCGCACAATCGAGATCTATGTCCGGCGTGGGGATGAATTTGCGTCAAACGTGGCAGACGAAATTATTACGCCCTATAATAACAGTCTTCTAAACTGAATGCACTCAAGCGTTACCCAACGCCCTCGGACTCCGAACATTCAATCAACCACATGTTGCGGATTGCCCAAATCTTGCGTCCGTGAAAGTCGATTTCTTTTCGAAGAGTTAGTACGCATCAGGTTAGATACGGGTGTTATTATAAACAATGCACCTGCAACGCGGTACCCAGGAATTAGCGTGCGAGCTGATTAGGGAACCCTGTGCATGTTGAACGGTTCCAAGCACCAACCAAAAGACTTGGCTACAAAGTAAGCAATCCCAAAGACGGATTCCCACCTCAGCTGGATTACGTGGCCTTGCAGGAAGCTGGTAAGCGTATTACTTGCATTAATTACATCCAGTGTTTTGGATTATTCATTTTAACCAAGGACATTTTGCGCATGCTTGTGAGGTGGAGAGAGGTGCAAGTACACAGTATCCGTCCGTAAGTAGCCCATTTTTGGGGATGTTTGAAGTTTCCGTTCATTAGGAAACAATTCCGCCAATATGACTAAATGCGTTGCCGGCTTTATAGCTTCTGTTAGCTTTGTGTGACAAACTCGTAATAGAGTCAAGTAAGTTGACGCAGTTATGAGTAATCCCTAAGGTCGACGAGCCGACAGACTGGGTTATCCAATTCGCCGTTGTTACGAAAAGGAATGGTTAGTTGCATCCGTGCATAGAGCTTAAGACTTTGAATCCGGCTTTACTTAGGCCTTGCCAAAGTTAGATGATCTGCCGCGTTTGAATAAGGCAAAGTGTTTACCAATGTTGAGCTATCATTGGCGTTCTAGAAAGTGCTTCTAGATGAGAAATCCAGTTTTCTGACAAGGTTCGCCAAACCTTTGGGCGTTGTCGGTGTCTACTTGTACCGTTTGACGTGAAGATCTTAAACGAAATGTTTCTGAAGCGGTTATTTTAAGGTGTTGATAATCTAGACGGTGCAACATGTGCAGCTGTTGATGCTAATTTATATCTCGTCTGCCCAGGAGCATGACGTAGGGCTGTACCAATTTTGTTGCTTTAAGTTCAATAGAACCTTAAGCTCAGAACCTAAAGCACCAGTATTCGGTACTACGATCCAGCTCTACCTTTGAAGGCGCAATGTGACAGCAGTCAGAGCGAAATAGAGGCTATCTTATTGCAGGACGGCAAGCCCTTAGGTTTCCGCAGCAGGGCGCTTACAGTGGCCGCGAAGTATTATGCGCATATTGACAAAATGCTCTCTGTTGCCTACGCGATGGAGAGATTCAATGATTAAAGCTTTGGGAGGAAGGCTAGCGTGTATACTGAGCATAAACCGTACGTATCAAAAACCAGGACACCGTTTCACAGTGTCCCTCGACCTCTTCAACGAATGCTTATGCGGATCCAAAAATACAACCTTGCTCTTGTGAAAACCCCGGGGATGCAAATGTTCATAGCCTGCGCTGTGTCGAGGTCTCCTGTTCTTATATTCGAACACCAGCAAGAAGAACTCGATACAGTAAACCTGCCAAAACATCTAGAGGTAAGGGCAGAACACCTGAGAGAATTAAGGCTTGATACTGAGGCAGAAGCGAATAGCATGGCATTGCGGGACCTGATTTCGAGTAAATGGCCAGCAACAAAGAACAAACTTCCAAAGGAATTAACGCCGTTTCTCAACTTTCATGTTGAGCTAGCGGTGTATGACGGTTTGTTGTACAAATGGAATCGCATTTTTCTACGGTCGCTTCGCAAAGCGATGCTGAAATTTGCTTCTTGGAATTATTTGGGTGTGTACTACAGCAAGAGCAAAGCAATCGTAGTGATGTTCTGTGATGGATAGGAGAAGTCATATCCGAGATCAAGTAACAAGCCATTTATTCTGGCGGTTTCACAAGACAATTCAAGCCAGAAAACCGATGATTCAGCGTGAGATTTTAGAACGACCATGGCAGAAAGTGATAGGTGACTTATTCGGTGAAAACAGGAAATACTACTTACACACAGAGAACTACTATATTGACTATTTTGAGGTCGCTCCACTCACCACTACCACAGGGAACTTGTCAACAATAAGCTTAAATATCGGAACGCCAGATGAAAATACCTGAGGAATTGACCTATGGAAATGGTGCGCGATTTACTAGTGCTATTTACCAGATCTTCACAATGAAGGGAATTAACACATCGACAAAACACCCCGAATCAAGCACAGACAAGGATAAACGTACAAATGCACACTGCTCATGCAAGAGTAAGACAATTCCTTTATATATAAGCTTTCTTTCGGATATGACTGCAGGTTCTCACTTGATGAAAATGTACTTAGTACTATTGTTGCTATTACTATTATTATTAAGGTTATTAGTACTGTAAGTATAGCACATGTTAATAAAGGCACGGTTGGTCCTTGAAACCAACCCATTACACGACAGCGCAGATACCGGTTATCGAGGATGGAACTACACATAAATAATAAATCAATCGCTCGGGATGCGGGAGCTAAAAAATTCACATACACTAATTTGGTTGCATCTATTGGAATGGTTGGAACAGGCACTCATATAAATGCTGCGAAAGCTGCAACTAAGACGTGGTACTCCCATCCGCATGGTATTACATATAGATCATCAGATTAAGCAAACGGTGACACCTAGTCATCGCTTACCTTCATCACCTGCCTTCATTTGGCGGTCGGGATGAACTCATGGTAGCTTTAATTTCCAGTGCCCATTATCAAATAAATCATACATGGTCAAATATAGAAGCATCAGTGTACTTACGCAAAAGCATGGCATGCAATTGCACCCAACTAACGACGTTTGACACCGTTTGACACTCTACTCGCTTACCTCAGTTGCCTAATAATCGTGGTGATAGCCGCTAGCCACTACGTGCAGACTTCCACGCCTACTTCAGGCTATATCCAGCGCATGTGGCTTAATAAGGATGAAACCGCAGGTCATGGAGTGCATTAATGGGAGTCGGCAAAACCGACAACCTCCACCGGCCTGAAGGGAAAGCGATTGGTTACGATGGGCATGTAGTAACTTTGGTAATGAGCGGCACTTGTGTCCTTAATTGGAGTGTAAACAACTAACATATTCTAAGATTATTCCGCCACGAATTGCGAGATTAATGTATTCAAACAAATATGTTGGAAGATATGGAAGATATCTAGAACAGCAAACGATTGTCGACCACTCACATATGCAGTGGTTCTACGAGTGTCGTTGCTGACCTGTGATAATATTGCCCCCAAATGGTTACGGAAACGAATACTTCAGAGACAAGAGTTTATTCGGCAAAGACAATAAAGCGCAAAATACAACATGTTTAGCAAGTCAAATTCCTCAATATAAATTGTAGGTTCAGGTCCATAACTAACGACCTTGCTGATTCGATGAGGTTCCTCATTTGTTTCAGTTAAACAAACGGTGAATCACTCACACGAATATCGGCCAATCCGAGTCTGGTAATCTAATCTGTCACGTCTGTCTCCCACTGGCCGTCTGGCTTATTCAATTGGTCCATCGGCTCAATTTGATCTGAAATTACTATCACATTCTCCTTTCGTTTACGTTCTTGCGCCGCAATAGTGCCATCCATCTCGTAAACCTTGCAAATCCGCGTCGTCTTTGTTGCATCTGCGGCCGTTGTCTCCCTGCTCTACACCATCTGACAATCCACTCTAATGAATCTGCTTGTCTCCAGTATCGTCTTAGATGCACCCGATTTCTTCTGAACCGTTTCCATCCAACATTTATTTCGTATAAAATGATACCGACCCACGCAGTCACCACAAATTCCTTCCACCGCTCTTGAATATCGGGTACACGTTGAACCCACACTTTCTCTTCCTCTGTTACCTCAGGAAGTACCCATGCACCGCGGTCGTAGTACCGTTTCTGAATAGTCATTCGTCGCCTCGGATGGTTCTGTATTCTTCCAGGCTCTAGCGAAAATGGGAGAAAAAGTGTGGCAGTTGCTGGTATCAGGGATCTAGTGCTTCTGCTGTAGGGGAGCTGTACCTGTCTCAAACCAAAATTTGTTGAAAGAGTTTTGCAATGTTGAAGAAGCATGAGTTACGGGACCTCGCCAGTTGCTCTAGCCTTTGATAACAGTCGACTTAACTGGTGACTCCGCCTTTCCATTCGTTTGACTGTGATATAGGCTGCTTTGCTAGTGCACGCATTCCCACTTGGTTGCAAAAGCCTGGGAAACGCCGTTAGTAAACTAGGGCCCATTGTCGGAGACTAGCTCCTCCGATATACCGTGCCCCGCGAAATGACATCTGAGCCCGTTGATTACCGCCTCTCTGGTGGTAGTGGTGAGTAAATCGATTTCAAAATAATCACTACCGTAATCAGCCGTGAGTACGTAATCTTTCTTGTTATCACTGAGGAAATCCACCGCAACCTTTGCCACGATAGGTCAGGAAAATCATGTAGCATGCTTTGTTCCCTCATTTGCCGGATTTCGCCTCACAATCCGAGAAAAGATCTTTTATTTGACCCGTCATTCCTGGCCAAAAGATCAGTTCTCTAGCTCGGTTAGTGGTATAGTTGACACCAAGGTGAGCGCGGTGAATGTTTATTAGCATTTCACCTTTGAGCGATGACGTAATCAGAATATGACTTCCCTTTAACAGCAAACCAGCATAGACACAAAGTTCATCCAGAAAATTGATGTAATGTGTTAGTTACATCGGTGGTTGCTTTCTGTCTCTGGCAACCCACTGAGAATAAATTCACGTAAAGTTGAAGGCTTTGCATCCTCCTCTGTTCAGCACCTTATTTCCTTTAGGCAATTTTCGTCACTGCTAGTTGCTTTACTAAGTTTACTGCTTCGACCTATTCCGGAATATGCTCGGGCACCGGCAGACACACTTGACAGCGTATGCGCGATGAACATCCGTGCACCATGCGTATGAATAACATCCACGTCGTACTTTTGCAGCCGGATAAGCATAATTTGAAGCGACGAGAAACGACATGCAGCGGTTTCTTGGCTGTTGACACAAGCGGTTTATGGTCGGTATACAACACTGTCTCTCTTCCTAAAGTTTTATCGTCAAGATGATCTATGGCATAGACTACCGCAAGCAACTGCTTCACTATCTGCGCAAAGCACTGCTCGGTCATGGCGAGTGTTCGACTGCCGAGCTACAAAGATTTTCCATTCTGTAAGAGAAAATCACCTATACTGTATTGGCTATTGTCACACTGTACCTCCAAATGCTGCGCTGGATCGTTATGCCCGAGTACAGGCGCGTTGTCGATGAGGTGCTAAATAGTTTCCAATTCGGTCTCCTGTTCTTTAACTGAAGGCCACTTTACTGCTTTATGAGTTAAGTTCCTGATCAGCAAAATGACATCAGCGAGCCTTGGCATAAAACGGCCCAACTAATACACCAGAACGTTTAAACTGTTATGGGGACCCAACGTCCCTATAATTATTAAAGGCTTAAATTACGGAAGGCTGAAAACCCGATTCACTCGAGTGCACATGTACTCAGACCAGACAAAACGCACACGTTTCAGTCAGCCCTCCAACTCGTAAAACATTCACATTGTTAGCCTTTGCACCCAGAAACAGTCTTGTTTCCAACCAAACACGCATTGTTGTATCCAAGCAACATTCATTTTTCCGGACAACTCTCGCCAAACTTCCTACATTTCTGCTCAGTTTACGGACTTTGCACATTTACATAAAACCATGTTTCTTGTTTCCAGGGTTTGCTTACGCAAACCCTGCCAAGGAAAAACCCCCCTTCATCACCGTTTCGTGATATAAAAATGAGGCTGTAGAGCGCTAGAATCGCCTTAGCTTTGGCCAGTAAAAGCGCCTGTGGCAAAGGCCTGTCTTGTTCTTGCTTCAGTCTTGGGTTGGGAAATCGTGCGTAGAACTTTGCGTTCGATCTAGGAACCTGTTCGACTCGCGTGAATTAAGCTTTCGCGGCTAATTTCCGAGAACCCACAGACTTCGAGATTGTCAGGTACCGTGCCGTGCCAGAAATAATTCTGAGTCTCGTTCGTTCATCCGTCTAGAAGAGTTGGCATCACATTGTTAGAACCTGACGTATTCAAGATGCAGTATTCAACATAAACGATGGATTCCCTTCAGGTCATTAGAGGGGCGCATCTCTCGAATTAACTTAAGTTTTCCTGAATCGATTCTGACCCCTTGTTTTGTTACTAAATACCCATGGGAAATTAACTCGTCTTTCCAAAGTTAAATTTTTTCACGTTTACGTTTGACGTTCTTTTGTACACTACGCTGTAAGAAACGGCGGAGATTAGCGTAATTCTCTTCTTCTGTCGAGCCATAGATCAAAACATGTTACACCATCTAAATCGTCTACTACTTGCACCAGTCGCCTATGAAAATTTTCACTGAAAACTTTCACGCCAAACGGTAAACGCAACCAACGATAACGCCTGAACGATATCGCAAAAGTAGTCAGACAACTGGATTCATGATCTGAAAATACTTCCCGGTATGCCGAAGCATGGTCAAACATCGTGAAACACAGCTTTGTCCAAACGCTGCAAAATGTCTTCTAAGAAAGTTAGCGCATAATGCTGTCTATGCAAAGTCCGGTTTATAGGTTTCGGGTCACTACACACGCGCAGTTCGCCCGCTTTCTTAGCAATGGTTCCGACGACTAACGCAGTCATTTTGCTGGTCGGCTTTGGTAATCACACCCTCACCCAATAATTTGCTCAATTCAGCAAATAACCTGTCTTGCAGGGCAAATGGAACTCTCTTAGCTGGTAGCGCTGTCGGTCGTATCAAAAGATCTAATGACAGTTCAGCGGTTCCCTCAAACTTTCCCAAACCTGGGCTAAACACAGACGGATACTGGTAAACTAATTTCGGTTTCTGCTTGGAAATAATGCAGAAACGACCATGGTTAAGAGCAACCAACTCGAAAGACTGGATGGAATCAATGCCCAGAATCGGAGTGAGCTCCTTCTCTATGAACATAAACTCCAGCTATTGTGCGGCTCCATTTCTTGGGTTAACGACTTCGATTGTAGCTGAGCCCTTTGGATAAATATTTGAACCACTGTACGTACGCAGATAATCCTGATCGGTTCGAATGCACACTCGGGGACAAGGCTTTCTTTGTAAAATATTGACAGTAGCACCTGTGCCTAACTGGAATCGTTCAGCTTTGCCAACGATCCACAGACTTGTGTAGACCCATTTTGCTGCGCCCTCCGAGACACGTTTCCAATTGAATGTTCTGCATCTGCGGGGGACTTGTCAAGAATGACCGCGCTCACATTTGTTGAATGGCAGCAACGAGCGAAGCTGTTCCTTTTTCCATACCTGGCGTATTTCCAACCCCACACTGGACACTGTTAGCTGGTGCTCGGATATCGCGTGGATCAAAATTTGCCGGTCTCTCCCTCACGGTAGTAGCCTTCTCTGCTTTGCCTCCGAAAATGACCCACGATGCTGAAGCTGTTGCGGACTTCATTTGCTGGTATTGGGAGGTGGTCGAGGACCCAATGTTGCAGATATCGATACACTGCTGGTTCGATAAGTTACGTTATGGCAAAAGCTGCTTTGTCGTACTTTTATCATTGATTTTTAGAACGATACGATCTCGTATTCGACTGTCGCCCACACCTTTAGAGAAATTACAGGATCAGATTAAAATCTTCATTTCAGTGATGTATGCGTCGACTGCCACATTTGGGCCTCTGCTGAGCGAAAAGAAAAGATAGTGTTGATAGTTCTCTCTGGATTGACGTACACAACATTCACTGAACTTTCCAAGCATCGTCTCCAAACTAGAGGGCTCTTCGCCTTTGCCGTAATGCAACGTCTCTAACCCATGGCGCGTGTCAATTCTGGTTGCGTGCCAAAACATGGTAAAGCGATGCGCCATCGCTTGTTCGTCCAAATCTGCTATGGTGCAAGCATACACCCAATTGTTCATCCATAGACGCCAATTACTCGCCAAGTTAAGTTCATACATGTTAAATGGGTCAGGCGTATAATTAGCAGCTGGTGATACAAACAGCACTGTGCGTTGGCGGTGTGGAGTTCGTCTTTGTCTTCTCTGACACCATGCTGCAGTCAAAGACAGTACAGCGCTAATTACAGCATGTTTAGCAAGCCAAATTCCTCAATATAAATTGTAGGTTCAAGTCCATAACTAACGACCCTTCTGGTTCGATGAGGTTCCTCATTTGTTTCAGTTAAACAAACGTTGAATCACTCAAATGAATATCGGCCAATCCGAGTCTGGTAATCGAATCCGTCATGTCCGCCAGCCACTGACTGTCTGGCTTGTTCGGTTTGTCCACCTGCTCTCTCTGGTCTGATAATGCAAGCACACAAGGTATGACACGTTATTCGGGCTTAGCGTATGACAACTACCCTTCGTTCACATGTCGTAAACTTTCCTATTTTATATAAAATATCTACTGAGTTTGGCACATCAAGTAATCAAATCAGGCGCTTGGCCGAATTTTGGTTGATTTAACCTTTTGCCGTCTAAATTAGCCGCAATCTTATTTGCTCACGTTCGATTTCAAAGTAAATGCTTCTGCTTACAGAGGAAGAGGCGCTGGCACAATTAAAATGAGGCATGAAGCAATCTCAAGGATACAATTATACGAAGGTCCGCCAGCATGAAAAGCTGAGGAAGTTCAATGCGAATGAACACATTATTCCTTGCAGTCGAAAATGTTGTGGAAAGTCGAGTTAATAAATTTAAAACACTTGTATTTTAGAGAAACATCTAGATAGAGGATAATTATAACCATAAATCGAAAGGAGCAGTTGAGGGATACCATCCAACTAAACGTTGGTCGACTTTTAAATTCATTTATTCCAATGTTGTAGGCGGTGCTTCAAACGTTTTTGATGCAAATGACATCCTACAAGTTGTTTCTTGGTGTTTGGGAACCAATAGCCTATAATTTCGAAATCAAGCGAATTAGCGGGACTTAGAACAAAAACGGTATGCACGTTAGAATTGAAATTCGAGATTTCCTACTGCACCAATGCCACTGTATCATATGTTAGCAATGTGTTACTTCCAGTTTGAAAGCAAGAATTCATCAATTTGACCATAATCAACAATGCCGTTAGACTCACTGACCTGTGGCTGTGAATTCACATGCTAATCACCTCGAGCTTGCTGAACCCTGTCGGTCGTATAGTATACATAATTATGTGCGTGAAATCGTGGTGTTTGGCAGATGGTTGCAATGTAATTGAGATTATCAGAACCAAATATCTCAGATCTGTGACTCTCGAGAATAATCGATGCTCGGAAACAAAAGATGATGCATTAGAAGCACTTACAAACGACGTTGTATTTAAGGTGTTGTAAACACATTTGATCGTAGTCGTTTTCTGGAAATGCAGCACCTGTATAAAGTATATCAGTGACGTTTGGCGAAAGGAACTTCAAACCACGCATACCTTGTACCCGTCAGGGCTCATGGCTTCCCGTATTATGAGTGTGTCAGTGTTCTTAGCGGTATCGGTTGACTTAAATGGCTTTCGAATGACTATGGGGAAGGTTTTTAATGCCGGATTACAGAATATATTTACCAATCAAATCCTTCGTTTCGCATGGATTTATGGTGCCATCGCATGGAAAGACGGACAAACAAGTTGATGAGGTTCGTGCATCGAAGCGTACCCTATATTCTGAAAGGTTAGCTAGGCAGATTTTGGAGGAAAAAGGAAGATCGAATGGACCTCAAATATAAAAGGGCTCAGGATGTGTTAGTACCTTCAAACAAGAGATCGTGGCTAGGGTCCACAGCCAGTTCCCCATGCACCCAGGGGATGCACTTTATTTTGTGTTTCATAATTTTGGCCTCATTGGCGTGTTCCCACTAGGAACAAAAAGTGTTAGAAAATCATGAAATTTCAGCGCGACTACCTACCACTTGACGTAAATCTTCTTGTTCCGCGCTCTCCGCTATCATGCTTTGAACGATTATCTCATGTTTGTGGTTTTGCGGATGGTAGAAGTCGAAGGACAACAAATACACTGCAACCGGTTGTTTTATGAAATAACCTTACCATCAACAATCGATTCTTGCTCTGCTTTGACACAAGCATAGCGTGGGTTGAAATAATATAATTCGGGTGCATTGGATTCCAGAGCGTAGTGTACTTCAGCATTCGTCAAATTTAACAGTGTCACACTACTGTATGAGCCGATCGTGTAGCCGTCTGAGCGTCGAGTAACTGCAACATGACGTTCAGATATTTCCATGTTTTTAAATATCGTCTTCACATAGGATTAGTCGATTCCCAAATCGTAACAATGAAATACGGAAGCCGCAACGGTGCAACGGAATGTCTACAAAATCTGTCACACTATGACAGCAAGGAGCACAAAATCGGTCACCCCGAGTGGAATCACATCAGTCAAACGCACTGACTTAAAGTACGCCCTTGTTAAATCATAACTCCTAAATGCTTAGACTGTTGTTGTTAATAAATCATTATCTGAGCTAATCACATAGATATACTACGCCAATTCCTTTCACTGGACGGACATGTACTGGCCACTCACAATTCTGTTGGAGTGCGCTCCCCGGCTCATGGCGCAAGGCCCGTTGTCTTTCTTGAGTAATTTGATCGTATGGTGTTGGCTGAATACCTGAGTTGTTCTCTCTTTGAAGTGTGGACGCCCGAGCAGCATATCAGTCCAAAACCAAATCATGAAATTCACCAATACTGATGAGGTCATGCTAAATCGGCCATCGCGCAGTGATGGAGGAGCGACAAGAATCGTCTTATCTGCTGCATACACCGAAAATATACTGCCGCTAACGTCTCCCTTCTTTCCTCTTCATCTGTGCGTACTCTCATCGTTCACATTTTTCCTAACCCAATACTATTTCAGACACAGGTTACCACTAGACCGATTTATGGGCGCAATGGTATGCACCCGTGCAAAGCACTCAAAAGCAAGTGCTGGAACGTGCACACGGCACTGGTCAAAATCGAACTCAGGCGTTACGACATTGCTATTGCAATACTGGGTGAAACTTGGCTTGCCGACTAAGGTAAGGTGCATAAAGCTTGTGCCGGGTGCACGTTCTACTGAGTGGGAAACGCCAATACAACATCACATGTACATGGAGTCGAATTTGCACTATTTGACCATTTATAGGACTAGCTGATGGAAGAGCAGAATGCTATCAGTCGCTATACTTATAATAATTAGCTTGCGACTTGAAAGCGGTAAATCAGCCACTTTTCTTCGCAACTATGATTCCACTTTTATTTGCATGTATACTTGCACAATCTGTTATTCTGATGACACGGGGAATCATTTGTACACAGTTATCCACCGGCTTTTCATAACAGGTGATTGGAACGCGCATATTGGGTACAATGCCGCGGTGCGGACAAACATAATTGGTCCGTATGGTATTCGCATCGCGACAAACATAGCGAGGCTTGAAATGCTAACACTCAGAAGCAGGGGATTCCAAGGTGCCATCTACTTAAGCGTTCGTCAAACTTTTATTTCCACTGTGTTGCTTACGCCAATTGTGTGGCGTCTGAGCGTCGAGTGAGTGTTCGGAAACATTTGCGCAATTATTTGTTCAACAAAACCGATGGTGGGTGCACAGGCAACTTAATACATGAATTCCTGTGTGACCAAAGAATGCTTAGCATGGATTGCGAGAATGCTGTTTCCACAGACGGTCACGCCAGCAGTGTACCGGAGTGAACCTTGTTGAAATATTAGGATAATTATGTTCGATTTGTAGGTCAACAAATCGGAGGTAAGCGTTGAACGCAAACATTAAATCAACCAAATCAGACCTAGCATTGAATACGAGATTGCTATTAACAATTGGTGAAATTTATGTCGCATAAGCAGTCAAATGGAGTGCTGAATTGATCAACTGTTCAGGATTCGCGAGTCGCAAATCCATGACAGACCTAACTTGTCCGTGATGAACAAATGAAGCATGTGGTATAATTGAGAAAAGTGGTATGTGGTATATTTCTCTAAGGGGGAAGACATGAACCTAGCAGTTGACCCGATCGCATTAAACCAAAGGATCATTGAGCCCATTGTTGAGGTAAATAAATTTTTACGCACAATCACTACTCAGAAACATATGCCAATCTGGCCTGAACAGTTTGGCGTGTAACGTTGCAATTTGTGGACTATGCGTTGAGTCGTAGCGTGCACAAAATTACAAATAACAGCATTATATTTGCCATAGACATGCTGATCATTCTGCTACTGACGGCCGCCAAGTGCGCTTGTCTCTCTTTATGAAAAGGAAAAGGTCTGACGAAAAACATGCTCATTTTTATTCTGCACAAAAGGAACGGCTGTTCCCTTTGATAGATGTATATCCACCTTAGTGCAGAATTGTGATAACATTGCGGCCAAGATGGAAGGAACTACATTCGAATAATATAGCTCTTCGGGATCAAGCAAAGTCGGGCTCAGTACATAAGGCTATACATGTAGACATATCGAATGCGCCATGGCTAGGGGTAACCTCACATAGTTAATGTACACCGAGAGCTCCAATTCGATACCTGGCAAACAAGTAGGTTCCAGAAATTTCAGTGACTTTCATGCTGCAAGTCCATCTGTAGCTCAAGGTATACAGGTACAACAGAACGCACCCGACACAGCTGAATGTGTAACTAGGTACCGGTCCCTTGTACTGATCACGTACCAGGAGCAAGTTCTATGGCTACGCCCGCCGCACTCAAACAGGCCGCCAGAATTGTCACATGTGTGTCTACCACTCAAATTACTATCCGACCTAATTATCAATCAAACCGGTCATTTCTTTATAGGCTCGCATCCCGCATCACGTAAGTGACCAACGATTATCCACAGTGACCGTTAAAGTATCCTAAGTAATTAATTCTTCCCCGTAGTCGCCTTAGTGAGATACATTAATGCCATACTTCTTCCAGCTTGCAAAGCGTTTCCTGGCGAATCCTTACCACAGGACATGAAAGTATTTTTCTGGTTACAGAAACTGTCATCAAACAGCGTGATTCCATCCCCAAATCGTATTAACATGATGCTGAAGTTGTAACGCTGCACAAATTTGTTGGGGAGACCGAAGTTCGTCCCAAATATATCGCACTGGGATGGCCAAGGGTGAAAATCGGTCACTACGATAGTATCACATCGGTCACTAACGCTGACTGAAAGTAGGGGCGTGTCAACTAGTAGGTTCTTACGTCTTATGATTGGTGGTGTTAATGACGCATTATATACGTTAATGACATATTCCGACATAGTTAACTAGTTAGTTCCTATTTTCCTCACTGCAAGAAACCAAGAGCAATCCAAAGGGTATGACTAGCCATTCATCTGTGCGGACAAGGAATGGTTGACAACACACGTTCCGGCGTTACTCATTCTATTGAAATCCATAATAACCTGTTGGAAATCGGAGGAAAATGGAACTATATGTGCACTAAAATGCATCCATCGACCGCTGCAGAATATATGGCTCGCTAGGACTTGTGGTGGCAAGAACCCGACAGATCGTCTACCCGCTGTTGCTAATGACGTGTCGTAGACTCCGATTGAGAACGCCACTTTGTGGCGATCGCTTAGTAGGAGTTAAGTAACATTCTTAGTCTGTCTGCGAGTCAGGGCATCCACAATTCTGATCGAGTGGGTTCCTTGGCTCATAGCACACAGCTAAATTCATCTCGGGTGTAATTTTATCAAAAACTTTGGCTGAGCAGCTGAGTCGTTATCATTTTCAGTTGTGGACACCCAGACAGTATTCCAGTCCACGCCCATAACATAAATCTCGCAAATAAAATAATAATTCCATGCTTCTTTGGCTGTCGCGAAGTGGCCTAAGGAAGTAGGTCGCCTTATCTACTGCATACAACGGGCGAATAAACTAAGACATGCTACCGCTGACAACTGCCCTTCTTTCTTCTTCCACGGCACACACTTCCCCGTCCCCATTATACCTAACTTACTACTTGCTCCATTACAGGTCACAACACGACCAAATGCCTGACGCAATCTGCGCTTTCGCGCATATCGATCAAAACTGGGTGTTGGGCTATGCGCTCACTGCTCGACCGTAACATGACTCAGCGACCTGAACGACGCGCAGCACTGGTCGCAATGGAACTCGCGAGCTACGGCATAGATATTGCGGCACTAGGTAAGACTCGGCCCGCTGACTAAGACAAGCTTCATGAATACATTCTGTTAGGTGGGTTACACGAGCAACGCACCATGTGAAAATGGGGTTAATTTTGCACCATCAGACTGCGTGAAAGGTCGCCGGCGAGGATATCCGACCGACATCTGCTTACGACTGTTGGCTACGTGTTACAGTGGGAAGCGGTAAATGTGTAACATTATAAAAAAATATGATCACACCAAGTATTATCTTAATGATACAGGGAACCATTGTCGCGCTCAGTTTTCCTCCGCGAAACGGTCTGCCCCGTGGAGCAACCAAACCTTCCAACTGAATGAATTCAAGGTGCGCGTTGGGCATAATGCCGTTGTGTGGACAGACTTAACCGTTACATTTGGTATTGGCACAATCAATTGGAACAATGACCGGCTGCTCTCACCGTGCGCCACTCACGGCCTGCGAATCATGTTCACCCGATTCGCATTGCATGAGAATGATATACCTACTTAAGCACACACTCGCTCGCTCGACTATGTCATCGTACGCAGTCTTGATATGCGTGAAGTGCGCAACACACGTGCACTGCGTGGGACTGTGGTACTGGTTGCCGGTTGATGCGGACCGAGTTGTATAAGCATATTCGTAAACTTGACTAATGCTCGCCCGTCGTCAACCGGGGCAAATGTGATGTTCCTTCCCCAGTTACTGTTGAGAATAGGACGCAGTTGCAGAAGGCGATAGCTACCCGCTTCAAGGATGTCGACTGCATCGATGCATTCGGAGTGCTAGGACACCATTTGCACTAACTGGTAAAGTCTGCTGCCGATGAAACTATCGGGAGCACAAATTGTACGCGGCTTAATTGGTTTGATGAAAACGTCGCTACCATTGGCACATTGATGTCGGAGAAGAATGCGGCATTATATAAATATATGTCGGACTCTGCCGAATTTGTTGTCATCTCTCATGTGAAGCAGTCCACTGGCCCATTTGAGATTTGCTTACATGCAATGATACCTTGAGCTTTTGATTTTGTATATATTTTGTCGGTGTTCAGCACCGTATTATTGG